CCCCAAAACCCCAAAACCCCAAAACCCCAAAACCCCTCGTGGTACACATAGATTATTATAAAGATAAGTTAAAATCTCATTTAACTTATATTTTTTACTATTGTAATTTGCAGCTATTAATTATTATATTCATATACGCTTATGAGATTATACTTTATTAAGCCCACTTTTTAAAGGTGTTTTAGTTGCCTTGTCATTCATCATAACTTGCTCATACTTCTTTGGCTTCCTAAAAGTGACCTAACTATCGAGTTCTTTTGGAGGACTTTCTCTTCCGTTAACTTATAATTAAGAAGCATGTCCCATTTCTCTATCATTCATACTATCTATGGTCTCAAAATATTCTTCTTAAGCTGAATCATTTTGTGTAGCCAATTGATAGTTCGATTATTATTGCATTTTAGTAATATCTTAATTATATTTTTTAGGATTTTGCTTGACATTAGGAATGCCTCTGCTTTATTTGTCTCGATTTGACTCTTATATTTATTTAAGCTAAGATGATACATTTCTTCTATGAAGATCTGACTAAGGTTGATTTTACTACTACAAATTCATTTACTTTTAAATGTTTTGACATTCCTTTATTTCTTCTAGCATTTACTGGTTCTGCCTATCAACAGTAGTTATTTAATACATTAGAGAGTCTACTTCATGAGATAATTCCATTTCTTAGGTCTCAAAATCTCGTTTCTACAAGTAGTACTTTTTCTATTATTGACTTAGGACTTTTTCAATGGCATTTCAAGATTTCATTATGGTGTCGACATCTTTATTTTATCTAATCATTGCCTAAGAGCCTGCACGCTAGAGTCTTTTAGTAGGTTGAATTAAACTTTTACTCTAAATTCTGGAGGTGTCATCAAGAATCAGATTTGGATTGTATTTTACTTAGATAATAGACTCCTTAATTTTATGTCTATTTTCTTAAACGGAAACTAACTGCTCAAACTTCTATTTGAAAAATTAGTCTTCTTCCTTCTTATATTGAAAAAGCATAGTGTGCTTCTCTTTCCATCTAACTAGCTCCTTCTTAAGTTAAAACATTTATTCTTCATATTCAGTGTCTTTGCTTAGCATCTGCATTGCCTTTTTCTGATCCTAATTTATAGAGTTAATTACTTTGACTTGCTTTTTAGCTTCTTTATTTTATCTCTCAAGATTTAATACCATATTTTCCATTTCAGTTACTTTTTCAGTGCTTGTTAATGCCTCAAGTTTGTTTTTCAAAGATATAATTTCTCTTTGCTATGCTTTTATTTATTTTTGCATCTATTTCAGCAATGAGTTTCTAGACTAAACATCTGGGACATCTCCAAACTGTGGCTCTCTATGAGTGGTGATATTTTTTATGGATGCTTCCTTTAGCTCTTTCTAAGTCTTTTCAACTGCTTGTGAAACTATTGACTCAAGTTCAGCAACTCTCTAAAAGAATTTTTCATTGGCTTCTTGTAACTTGTTAATTACATCACTATCAAAACTCATAAATAAATGATTACTCTCTGTTATCAATTAATGAAACATTGTTTGACTCTCTCGTTTATTCTTATGCCTGCTCAGAATCATAAGCATCATCCTTTTATTATGGACTTCTAACTAGAATTTATCATTTTAATTTTGATTAATTTACGTTTTGGACTGTAATTTTTTTAATTACTATATTGAGCAGCTTTAAATTAAGGACTCATGCTTGGACTATTATTGAGCTTTTAGTATGTGCTCGGATCTGGCAATATATCCATAATAGTCTTTGTTCCTTAGGGAATTGGATTATTTACTTAGCTTCTGTGACTCAATATTTAATGATTAGAGTTGTTGTTTTAATTCCAATCAGTTGTAGCCATTATTTATAATTTAGATTATTGAATTTTTTGATTATATTAATTTTATTAGTCAATTCTCTTTTTCAAATAGCACGTAGTAATAAGCTCATTGAGGGGTTTTGGGGTTTTGGGGTTTTGGGG